AGCAGGGACACATGGGGACACTGAGACACTAGGAGACACAGACACTATGGGACACAGACACTAGGGGACACTGAGACACTAAGACACAGACACTGGGAGACCTTGGAACACTGAGACACTTGGGGACACTGGAAAACATGGGGACACCGGGACACTAGAGGACACTGAGACACTAGGGGACATATGGGGACACTGAGACACTAGGGGACACATGGGGACACAGACACTAGGGGACACTGAGACACTAGGACACATGGGGACACAGACACTGGGAGACCTGGGGACACAGACACATGGGGACACTGAGACACTTGGGGACACTGGAAAACATGGGGACACTGAGACACTAGGGGACACTGGGACACATGGGGATGCTGTGAGACATAGGGACATTGGGAGACATTGGGACATGGAGACACGATGTTCCCATGTCCCCCAGCCAGTGTCCCTAGTGTCTCAGTGTCCCCAAGTCTCCCAGTGTGTGTCTCATGTCTCTCAATGTGCCTAGTGTCCCCATGTGTCCCAGTATGTCCCAGTGTCCCCATGTCTATGTCCATAACTGTCCCCATGTATCCCCAAATGTCTGTCTCTCAGCCAGTGACCCCTAGTCTCCCAGTGTCCCCTAGTCTCTGTGTCTGTGTCCTTAGTGTCTTAGGGTCCCCAAATGTTTCAGTGTCCCCATGTCTCCCAGTGTCTGTGTTCCTAGTGTCTCAGTGTGCCTGGTGTCCCCATGTCTCCCAGTGTCCCTATATGTCCCAGTGTCCCCATGTCTCTGTCCACAACTGTCCCCATGTCTCCCAGTGTCCCCAAGTGTCTGTCTCTCAGTGTCTCCTAGTCTCACAGTGTCTGTGTTCCCATGTCTCTGTGTCCCTAGTGTCTTAGTATCCCCAAATGTTTCAGTGTCCCCATGTCTCCCAGTGTCTGTGTCCCCATTTCTCCTAGTTTCCCTAAATGTCTCTGTGTCCCCATGTCTCTCAGTGTCCCCAGTATCCTAGTGACATGGGGACACACAGACATTGGGACACTGGGAGAAATGGGGACACAGACACTGGGAGACTAGGGGATTGGGTGACTGACACTGTGATACATAGGGACACTGAGACACTGGGTGACTTGCGAGACAGACACTGGGAGACACTGGGAGCAATCCATCTATACAGCAGAATCAAACTGTGAGTAGTTTGTTGGTGATTTTAAAGAATTTTCTCTGCTGTCACTCCTTGTGATTTACATCATGTGATGTCACGCATAACTAATTAATTATACAAATGATTAAGGCTGGTATTTTTTTCCAAGCAAGGTGGCAACCTTAACTACTCTTCACATATTCTTGCTTAAAGGAACACTATAGGGTCAGTAACACAATCATGTATTTCTGACCCTATTATGTTAAAACCACCACCCTGGACCCTTCTTGCCTCCCTAAATATAGTAACATATTACTTGTATTCAAGTCTGCAGCTGTTGGCTCAGAAGTGGTGGTCTGAGCAAATTACAATACTTCCCCATAGGCTGAGACAGTCAACTAGGCAGATCAAGGGCAGAGCCAGCACAAGTCCAACATAGCCCTGGCCAATCAGCATCTCCTCATAAAGATACATTGAATCAATGCATCTCTATAAGGAAAGTTCAGTGTCTGCATGCAGAGGGTGGAGACACTGAATGGCAGTGCTGCAGACTAGGCAGTACTGCCCCAGGAAGCACCTCTAGCAGCATTCTAAGGAGCGGCCAGTGGAGTTATTTGCTCTGAAAAGACAGTGTTTACTGCAAAAAGCCTGAATGGAATGATTCTACTTACCAGAACAAATACAATGTCCCTTTAAGTTTGGAATCTTAAGAGGGATGTATGGGAACAAAACTTGTGTGGCTGGCTGACATTAAAATTAGTTTAGGTAATGCAGACGTTGGTCTCTGTGGCATGTCCCCTTTCTTCTACACTCACTACATACACATTTTCTCTGTCTCAGACTATATACCAGGAACCTCTGCCTGCTAGTAAGAAGGTAAGGAGACAAGTGGACCAGCGAGTGCTAGGGGAAAGTCTTTAGAAAGCATGGAGTGAGCGCCTTATTAGACGCATTTGTGTCAAGCTCAAGGTGCTGCCTGCATAGTATGCTCTTAGTTGGACAGCCTGCAGGATTGGCAGGCAGCCTGACATTCATTCATGCCAGGCTGACCTTCCAATTCTTTGGACAAACATGCCCCCTTTTTGGCAGGTCTTGTCACGTGATTTGCGCCAGTGGCACACCCTTTTACCCCACCCATTGACTTCCTGCTTCACTGGACACTGCTGTTAGGGGTTATGGATTTACTTGAAAGATGAAAGCATAAATTAGAGAGAAATTAGCATACAGTATGTGTTTTCTTATAGCTGCATTCTATGAGTTTCCCTCCAGCACCATCTCCATCAGATACATGACGCTTGGGAGGTATGACTGTTTTAGTGTTTTTGGTCGATAAGATTCCGTAATTAGGCCCATCATAATTGTCAGCACCAGGCCCACTGTGCTCTTAATCCGGCCCTGAGTACAGGCTTCTTTGTGGGCCTATGGCCATGACCTGGACCGGGGACCACGATGTTGTTGCCTACGCAGGAGTCCCCTCCTTGTGGTGCGTGGGTGTGGGGCCCAAGCCTGCCTCCGAGTGCTTAGGGGGCTATTTTGCTATAGGAGTCGGTTACGATAGGAAGGGTTCATTTAACCACGGTTTCCATATCTTATATATATAAAATATTATTTAAACTTCTACATGTATATTTATGTCATCTTTTAACATAATTTTGTGATTTAATTAATTAAAATTTGAGGGACGTGTTTGACAACCCAGGCAGAAGGTCCATAGAATTTAATTAGCAAGCATTATATTTAACCCTGTAACTTTCCAAGTCACCATAAAAACTGTACATGGGGGTACTGTTTTACTCAGGAGACTTTGCTGGACACAAATATTAGTTTTTCAAAATGGTAAATTGTATTACAACTATGATATTGTCAGTGAAAGTAAAAAATTTTGCATTTTTCACATACAAATGACACTTTCACAGACAATATTATTGTTGTAATACATTTGACTGTTTTTAAACACTAGTATTTGAGTTCAGTGAATTCTCCCAAGTAAAACAGGACCCCCATGTACAGATTTTATGGTGTTTTGGAAAGTTAGAGAGTCAAATATAAGGCTTGCATTTCAGTTTTTTCACATTGAAATTTGCCAGATAGGTAATGTTGCCTGGTAATGAGAATTACCCCCATGATGGCATACCATTTGCAAAAGTAGACAACCCAATGTATTGCAAGTGTGGTATGTCCAGAATTTGTAGTAGCCACTTAGTCACAAACACTGGCCAACGTTAGTGTTCATATTTGTTTTTGTTTTTTTCATTTTTCACTCAAAAACAAATATGAATGCTAACTTAACAAGTTTTTCTGACTAAGTGGCTACTAAAAAAGACTGGACATACCCCATATGGAACACCCTTTGTTCATTACTGCAAATGGTATGCCGTCATGAGGGTAATTTTCATTCCTGGGCTCTGATACAGTTTCATAGGCAACATAATCAGTCTGCAAATTGTTTATGTTTATAAACTGAAAAATGGAATATACTATATTTAACCATGTAACTTTCCAAAACACCATAAAACCTGTCCATGGGGGGTACTGATGTACTTGTGAGACATCACTGAATACAAAAATGTTTATTTTATTGCAGTAAAAGCTAACAGTATTATGCCATTCTCAGTTAAAATGACACGCAAAACTAAAAAAATTAAAACAAAATCTTAATTTCTCACACGTTTTTAGATTGTATTTATAATAAATTGTTAGATATGTGAATAGTTGATGTGAAATGAAAGCCCTGTTTTTCCTGAACAAAATGTAATGTAAAATATAATAAGTGTGGATGCACTTAATATGAAAGAGGCAAATTACGGTTGAACAGACATATAGCGCAAATTCCAGTTTTTGTTTACATTTTATTTTGTATAGAACGTGTACAATTGCCTCTGTCCTAAAGGGGTTAACATTCTGTTAGTAAAGTCCATGGACTTCTAAAAACACATCCCCTTACAGGGATTTCAGAGATTTTTTTTCTCCCTGAAAACATTCTCATTCTCAAACACATTTGCTTGTTACTGTGTAAACTTTGTCAACAACAGGGAATTTCTCATCCAAATTCTGCAAATGAAAGGAACTCTTTTTAACAGAACTATTTACTAATCTCACATATCTAGTTATAGAAGCCATGTTAGAGCTGGAGTAGTTAATCTCTGGCATTCTAGATCTTGAGGACTACATCTCTTGAATGCTCTTGCAGTTATAATGCTGGCAAAACATTGGTTGAGATGTATTCCACAAAATTTGAAGTGCCGAAAGTTGTCTACCCTTGTTCGCGAGGTTTGCAATGCTGTACATAAACATGGAACCACTTGATACATTGCGAAAAACATTTTAGATTAATTTATAAGTATATTACTGTATCTATGACAGTTAAGCAATCTGTTATTTTGCATAGCACCTATGTATTATTTAATAAATTAAAACTACTATTGTGTGGATGTTAAAAAAAACTAAATGTGAAGGAAATGTAATACTTATTTTATTTTTCTCTCAATTTAGGAACGCATGCTCTGGTGGAAATTCAGACCTCTTCAATTTTATTCCTTGCAGGATTCTTATTGACTATATTTGTACATTAATGTAACATCTCTGAAAATGGACACATTTTATTAAGGAAATTACTATAACCTGATTAAATCTTTAGGTCTAAATTACTACCTACAATATTCTCATATATAGTTCAAATATCCTGATATGTATTAAAAATGCATGGAAATTGAATGCTTTAAGACACTTTCATTCTGCTTTTGTTTTTTGTTATAAAATTACTAATTAATGAAATGAAACGAAAGATAAAATTTAGATCATTGACAGCACTTCTTTGTTTACAACTTACTTTGCAATAAGTCAAATGCATGCGTACAGTAAGAGACCATTACATGAACACTCTGGGTACCAATACATCTTAATCCTTTAAGCCATTGTTACCTTGGGACTTGATGATGTCTCACTCCCAATTAGAGTGTGAAAATGGAAAACACAATTAAAAGCTAAGTGCTGTTGACTTTTAAAACAGCATACTTTTTACTCCTTACAGAAGACATCCAGATCGATGTATCTCTCTTATTAACTGTCTGCCTATGTAATATATTTATATGCAGGTGTATGCCTGTTTAGGAAAAACGTATGTAATAAGGCAATTTAATTTATTTACTTTATTAATGTATAAGTTAAGTGTAACCAACTATTTTATGATGGCATTTTTTAAACTTATATTGTTACTGCATACGTTAAATGAATCCAATTATTACATTGTTGTAATATTGCATCAATAAAACTTATTTTCATTAATTATAAGAATTCTGTTTACTTCACAGTGTACAACTTTTCTCAGGCAGCACACCTCACATGTTGGTCCCCTGTACTACAGTTTTATACAGAGGGCAAAAAGATAGGATGTGAAACCCTGCTGTGTATAATATAGCGGTGTTCTCCAACCCAGTCCTTATGGACCACCAACAATCCAAGATTTATGTATTTCCCTGTTTTATTCCAATGGGGATACTGACAAAACATGGACTGTTGGTGGTTCATTAGGACTGGGTTGGAGAACACTGTAATATAGCATTTACCTGAGAGTGAAACTGTACCCAGGGCATATGTCATTGTTTTCTTCCTACTATTATAACCACATAACTTGAGGATATAGACATTTACAATAAATGCAATCATAGTTTAATGGACAACTGGTATATTTGCATCAGAGAATTATAGTAAATATACATTGTTCCAAGAGGTTTGAGGATGAATAAGAAACCAATGCTCTTTTTGGTAGAATGGGATGATGCATTAGGACCATGTTCTAATACTTTTAAATTGTACATCAAGTCAATGAGCAGTAAATTCATAAACCTTGTATATTATGCCAATTATGCATTACATACAGTCATGGGTTAAAGAAAGTATACCCTCTTTGAATTGTATGGTTTTACATATCACAACATAATAATCATCTGCTACAGCAGGTCTTAAAATTTCCCAACGAGGCATAAAAGTTCCCAAGTCCTTTTCATTCCATGTTATTTGTGGTGACCTACTCTCAAGGGACCCAAGTGTCACCTCCAAGGACTTTCTTTCCCTTTGTGATTATAGCGATAGTGATAGCTATTATAGTAGGTTTACCCAAACACTTGCCAAGACTTAGTGAAGGGTGAAGAAGAACTGGCCCCAACAGCGGGTCACCAGGAAAACAACAGGTATTGTACAGAATCTGGAAGTTAGGTGTAGCGGATGGCCATGAGCTGCCTTGGGACTTGTATTATTTTTAACCTGTATTCGTCTATTTGCTAAATGTATATGCAGTAAGGGAATGCATTTGTGTAAAATGGCAAAGTTCTATGGGCTAAATGTGTTGTATTCGTCTGAATGTTAGGTAGTTTCATTCCCTTAGTTTGTTCGAATGAAACTACCGAACAGTCAGACCTCCCCTGTGTGAAGTGTGCCTTCAATTACCCGTTGCAACATTGTTGTGAAGGGTAATTAACAAGCTGGGTAGCAATCCTTTGTTCTCGGGGGTGGCCGCCATTCGGGAAACGAACACGTGGCGGCACCCATCTTAAACTCCCGAACAGCGGTGTTTTGCTGTCGAGTGTCTGGAACTCAAAACGCACACTCGACTAGGCGAATACTGCTGAGACCTCCATCAGCCCGGTCCGTTCGGTTCCAAACTACCGAACGGCCCCTCGTTCGGTAGGCATAATCAATCGAACGAGGGGATTCAGGCAAACCCTCCCCAGCCTCTATAGCTGGAGGCTTTCAGGTACTTCATTCACCTTTTCCAGGACCGACCGCAGGGCCCAATCGCATGGAGCCCAATTCGGCTAGTTCATCCAGTGCGGTCGGTCATTTTATTCCCTCCATGAAATTCCCGAACCCCTGGTCTGATCTGGGTGATTTTTGGGTATGTTGTTCACCCAGATCAGGGCTAACAGGGGATGTATAATTTAAAGTGGTACCCCTAGGTTTAGGGGTACATCCAGAAACGGGGGAATTGCTGTACTGGATAAGGGGATTATGATGCCGGCTGAGGGGAGGAGATGTGTGGGAGGTTACCAGGACAGGATTGGCTATTGTGTTAATTAATGTAATCCCTCCCTTGCATGGGAGCATGCTTTAAAAAGGCCACTGTGGAATAAAGCTTTCAGTTCTGCTCCTGATGCTGTGTGTCGTCCAGTTATTGGGATTGCTGTTGGGATACTATTGGATTATTTTACCTTCTGGAAACCTTGCCTGTGGATTTATAATAGCTTGTTCCTGAGCCTCCCTGGGATCTTAAGCGGAGATAATCTGTGGGATATTGTATCTCCGCTACATTAGGTGTCTGGCCATTAATAAAATATCTGGTCAGGTACAAACACATTGGCACGTAAGCACATTTATATATCAAAATCAGGATTCCCTTGCCTGCATCCCCAAACTGGTGACCTCCCCAGTTAACTCTCCTTGTATAGCCCATTTTGTCCAAATAAATGCTCAGATCGGAGGTGTCCAGCCTGAATAGTCTTGAGGTCAAGTTTTGCCCGGGCCATGAGCATCCTCCTATCACGCTCAGAGTTCCAGGGCGCTGGGTGGAATGTTCTGGTGTACATTGAGATCTCTCAAGTTCTCGGTACTGTTTAATGCCTCACCATCTCCCCTATCTCCCCTCCAAATAGCACTCTATTTGGTGGTCCTGGGACCGAGAGCCCCTTCCGAGATGTTTTACTGGATCACTGCAACTCAGCGATCTGATCTGGAGTTCCAGTCGATTTGCAGTTTGCACCCGGTCTGGTATGCCTCTGCAGGTTTACTCTGGGGCGCTGACATGCCTGAGACCGCTCGATGTGTTGAGCTGAGAGACATGGTTTGGAGGGGTAAATAAGTTAGTCATTACAGTCTTTTAAGGGAACGTAGTGATTGGTAGCTCTGTACAGTTTTGAAGTGGTCTATCACATTATTAACAAACTCATTCAATTTAGAAATGGCTTTCAGGTTCCTTATTCCAAAATGAGTGACTTTACATTCATCTGTATTGAATCTTATTTGTCACTTGCCTGTCCAGTCCCCCAATGTATCCAAACCTTTGTAGAGAAATATCATGTTCAGACTGTGGACTCAGGACAGAACCCAAAGGCGGTCCACTTACCACTTTTGTCCAATTTGAAGTGGTCCATTTACATCTACTGTCTGCACTCTATCTTTCAGCCAATGTTCTATCCAAGAACATGTTTTTTTTTAATCTAACCCAACTTATCGAAATTCAAGTAGGTCATATCTACTGGATCACACTGATCTAAGGGTCTCAGTTAATCTCAGTAATCACCAATATATCATATTGCTCCTTGAATGCCAATATCTCAAGTTCCCCCATTTTCTTACACAAGCATCTTGTATTAACAAGCAGACATTTACATTTACAGTTGCCATTTGTTTCTTGAACTTTATTTGAACAACATGTATTTAATGCCGTCCTGCTCTGTCTGCTAATCTTGCCACTGTATGTACCCCAACTAGCCAGGTTGAAAAGTTTTTTTTATCCATTGATAAAGCCTATATGGTGAAATGCGATTTGGATATTGTACTGCTTTTAAATACTGTTAATAAATAGATTTTGGTCCTTTTTTACTTCTGTACCATTATCTTTTGACTACTTCCTGGCTTTTTATATATTTATATATTTATATACTTTTACAAATTTATATATATCTTTTTATATTACTATATTTTTACTTTTTTTATTTTTTATTTTATTTCATTTGTACTATACTCCAAAGAATCCTAGGTGGGGATTATACCACCTATGCCCTTGTCATAGAGCAGTTAGTCTGCCCTATACACCCTGAGTATATTTTATTCTATTTTATACATCAACAATATTTTATTGAGAGCACTATTGCTGTTTTATCTTCTCTCTGAGCTCCTGATACCATCTCCAAGAACACTCATCATATATCCTACAAGCGGGGATTATACCGTATATTATACCGGTATAGCCCCTCGCGGGAGGGTCGGATGAGGGGCAGGAGCAGGAGCCCTGTGGCCGGTCCGCGTGCCAGGTCCCATGCGGCTGCGGCCGGCGAGGTTTCCCGCGCTCCTAGCACCTCCTCCCCGAGCGGTGGCCATGCGGCGGACGGACGCGGGCCACGCTGCCTCCAACACTCCATCCCCTCCGGTCTCGCGGGCTCTGCAGAGGGCGGCCGCGAGGCCATTGGACAGGAGGGCACCAACTACCTGATCAGCACGGGCATGGGCTCCGGCGGTCCGTGGGTTGTTAACCTATTCTTCTGGTCGGGTAAGTAGGCCGCAGGTCGGCAGGGCTGTTTCTGGGGGGGGGATCAGGGGGCCGTGGTAGGGAGTCTGGATTGCCTAACCCCCATAGCAGCCCCCCTCCTGTTCTACCTTCCCTCTCTGCCTCCCCTGGGCCTGCACCTGTCACGATTTCTACTCCCCCTCCACCTGCAGTTGGTCTCTTAGTGGATGGTACTCCCCCCCTTTCCACTGTGCCTGTCCCTTCCCTCCTCCCCTCCTCCTCACCTGGCCCCCTCGTGGCTGGGGCCCTTTCTGGTTCTACTGGACCTGCCCCTGGCACACTGTCTGCCCCATCAGCTGGCCCTCTCACCCGGGGGTGGTCAGGGACAAGTTGGCCAAGGAAGTGGCTTTGGGACGTATGGCGGGCCCTTTCCAGGAATCTCCTCTCCCTGATCTTCGGGTGTCGCCATTAGGCGTCGTACCCAAGAGAGAACCGGGAAAATTTCGGCTCATTCATCATTTATCGCACCCCCACGGGCGTTCTGTAAATGATGACATAGCATCAGAGCTATGCCGAGTTTCATACGCCTCATTCGATGCTGCAGTTTGTATGGTCAGGGCTGCGGGACCCGGGGCACTCATGGCAAAAACAGACATTGAGTCGGCTTTTCGCCTCTTGCCGGTTCACCCGGGGTGTCATCATCTCTTAGGTTGTTATTTTGAGGGGCATTACTATGTGGATATGTGCCTCCCGATGGGCTCTGCGATATCTGGCTTCTATTTTGAATGTTTTAGTTCCTTTCTTGAATGGGTGGTGAGAACGGAGTCTGGTCACAACTCCCTCCTTCACTACCTAGACGACTTTCTGTGTGTTGGTCCCGCACATTCCTCGATATGCGCACACATTTT